GCAGTTTTACAGCATCTTCTACTTCAAAAATAGGACAATATTGTGATTAATGCTGGAATTGCAGATGGGGAAGGAGATTTTAATGGTGCCTGCTAAACAAGTCCAATAAAAGACAATGGGGGGGTACATTAATTTTTTTAAATATGCATAATTTGTGAATTAGGTTCTGTTCCAGGGCCGCTACATAGTTTTAAGAACAGACATCTGTGGCACATCTGTGTGCTACTACTTCTCAAACCTTTACAATCCAATTCTAATACAATGTTTATTAGTAGGGGAGTATATCCTGGTACTCTTTTTTTTAAATGTTCCCCCTTAGTGGTTTCCCTTGTTTAAACAGCTCTAAAGCTTTTAGTAACAACTATTTTGTGTAGCACTTGTTTGGAGACTAAATGCTATGGGATTATTGGTAGAAAGTATCTGATTGAGTAATCAATCCCCTACACAGAAGTATTTATAAGATGGGGAGACAAGGACCAGACAAATATGTTAAAAACAAACTGTTTGTTAAAGAAACCCAAAGGTGCCTAATTATACTAACAGTCTCAAATTTTCAAATATAGAATCTGTGAGCTCACTTTTCTTGGGAATTCCTGCTGTCAGTCTGATTTGGGAGCTCTAATGCCATCTCTTCAGCTGCTCCACATTCCAAAACTCCTTAAGTCTCAGCCTTGTCTGTGTTCTAGACATATCTCTCCTTTCAGTCAATTACAAGTAACTTCTTCTCAAATATTTACACTCAAGAATGAGACAGATTCTCTGTTCTTCTTCACTCCCTTTGAGCTGCTCATGTGGCCCAAAGGGAAGGGAGATTGGCTGCATCTCCCGACCTGGGGATTGCCCTGGTGTGGGGAAGTACTCTATGGATGTAGGACCAGAATAGCTGACTCCTGGCACCACTCCCTCTGCAACCCACCAACACAGGGGGCAGAAAGGGGCATATTGGAGGTGGGGAGAAGTGGGGAAGAGGGTAGAGAGTATTAATGCTAATGATTTTTAGCATCTATGCAGCACATTAATCTCAAGATTTGGAAACTGAGGTATAGAGGGGAAAGTGACTTATCAAAGTCACACAACAAGTCAAAGGTAAAGCTCTATAAGAGCGTGTAAATCAGGTCTCTTAACTTCCTGTCTGTTGAGCCAAGCTGCCTCCTCAGATACACTTCCTGCTGGGTATGTCTTAAAAAAAATCACTTTTAGGTTTTTTGACCAAGGACTATGTAATATTGCTAGTGCACTTTTTAGAATGGTCTCACATAGCCACCTTTATCATATGTCAAAAAATGAGTAAAGTTCAATGCCTAAACATCATTCAAAATCACCATAGTAAAAGATTAGCATAATCATTCTTTTGGGGGGGTCTAATTACTAATTAGGCATTCTTCCATTACAGTAAATAATAAATGAATAGTTATGCTTATTGATCTGCTCTCCTGGAACTTGGAACACTAGATCAGAAATACCTACGTTGGGCCTCATTTAGAAACAATGACTGAGAAAGCAGATTTTGGCACTGTATTGGATTCCAGGTGTTTTCATCTATACAGCTACAAACTTATCTGTAAAATAGTATTTCCCATGCAGGTCTAAAATTAAAAGTTATATATCTAATTTAGACATTTTTAAATGAATATGGAACATTCATGCAACATTCATTCAACATTTCTGAACCTAGCACATTTATTGAAATTGCTTATTAAGTAAGGAAAAACAATCTTTGTGATAATTATTGATGTGACATTCAATGTGTGTTTTCAGACAACTTCTGATTTGTGACTTATTAGCCTATCTATTTACCTAACATGAAGGACTAATAATGATGCATGATAAAGATTTGTTTCTGTTCCTACTTACTTGGATGGAAATCAGGAATAATTCCTTTGAATTGAATGTAGTTGAGAACAGAATCAGGCCACACAAAATCCAGAAATAATAATCTCTTTGCTAAGGTTCTCTCTGTCTTTGCAGCGGAAGTTACATCTAATCTTTTATTTCTTTTACAGCTCATTTGGTCAAAACCTGGCCCTTGGGTTCTTAATTTCTAAACCTTGATTACGAATTCTAGGATACATTTTATTACATTTTTGTTTACACTGCACTCGGTTTGCTGACACAGCATCCCTTGTCTTTTCAGAGTGAAAACAGCACATGTAAGAAAGAGCAGAATACATTAAAGGCGATATTTAAAGAAATAGTAGGATTTTAAAAGCAGAATACTGCCTTTCAGTAGCATTTGAGATTGGGACACTGCTGTTTCTAACACTGTCTTTGGTGGCTGTTGTATTGCTAATCAGTCCATAAGTATGATAAAATGATGATATTGCTACGTTGTTCCTTTCTTTCACTGTTTCTCTTATTACTGTGAGAATACTTCATTATTAGGGAGAAGGAAAATTCTTATATTGCAACAAAGGAAAACTCAGGTGATAAAATTAGAATTTAGAATCATATCACACCCTCGATTTATAAACAGTGTTTCCCACTGACTGAGAAATAATGACACAATATGCCTCTATAATTTTTCTCCTGAAGATAGGCGAAAATGCAATGTCAGGTATTATGCAGTGTAGCTGAAGTCATGTCGGTTCCAGGATATTACAGAGACAAGGTGGGTGAGATAATATCTTTAACTGGAGCAACTTCTGTTGGTGACAGAGGCAAGGTTTCGAGCCATACAGAACTTTTCATGAGGTCTGGAAAAGGAACTCCCAGGAGCACAGCAAAATGCAAGGTGGAATAGATTGTTTAGCATAGTAGTTAGCACATATTGCGTGGGACCATTCAACACACTGGATTACAACAATCTGTAATTCATGAATCCCCTCTTTTTGTCCTATGACTGCAGAGGTGTTAACGGGCCACTCTACCTTGAATGGTCCGGTGCCAGGCAAGTGATCTAACCACTGGGCTAAAAGTTATAAGACATATGCTTAACTTTAAGCAGGGGAGAGTATTGAAATCTATGGGAATACTCTCATCTTTACATTTAAGCACATGCTTTGCTGGATCAGGGCCAAACTTCAGCGTAGTGCTAGTGACATGAGCTTCTTTGAGGTTCACTGTTACTAGAAACTCTGATTTAACTAAAAATTCTAAGAACTCACAGTGATCCTGTCTTTTCAGCCTGCCTTTGGACTTAGTGCCTGTTCACTCTCCTGCTTCTGGTATTTTATAAATGTATGTCATAAAGTGTGGTCACTTTCAGAGACATTATGTTTCTTTGTATTATTAGACAAGAACATAGTATTTACATTCTCTGCCTAATTTTTACATCTTTGAAAACAGGCAATAATACCGAGTTTCTTAATTAATGGAACATGATATTTAAGTGAGCTTTTATATAAAGTGTGGCTATTGAACAACACACACCAGAGGTTGTTTTTTTTTGGGGGGGGGGAGGTAGGGGAGGAGAATTATGTGTTTTCCTGGGGAAGGGGAAAAGTGCTCTTATGAAATACCAGAAAGTGAGCATAATTGTAGTTTTTTTCCCCCCTCCCCCCATGAAAGAGGGCGTAGGGAATGCACTGATGGCAGGAATCAGGTGGCTAGGTGCCCAAGGTGTTTCTTACAGGAATGAGATAGGCACCTGCCTCGCTCCATACCAAGTGGACACAGAGGAGGCGTTCACCTTATACCCTTTAGCCCAGTGGCTAGAGCACTCACCAGGGATGTGGGAGACCTACATTCAATTCCCTCTCTTTGTCAGAGCTAAAAGTTATAATGGGGGCAAGCACCACCTCCTCTTCCTCCAGCTAGATTTTGACTGGTACCCGATGAGGTAGACAGCCCATGCCTACCAGATTGGGGGCTGCATGCAGCTTAAGCAGATGAATGCCTGTCTTCCCACGTTTCGTGAATCATTTTGGCACAAGTAGAGGAAATAGGCATCTGGACGCCTAGAGTGAGGCAGCAGTGCTTATGCCGAGGCAGAAAAATAGGCCCCTAGGGAATTTTTACCCTGAAAATTTAGCCACTGAGTGCCTATAGAATTCACTGGGAGTTTTGTGGATCACATGGGACCGGATTTAGCTGCTAAGTACTTGGTGGATCTAGGGCCTAAATGACTTGCCCAAGGTCACACAGGAAGTCAGTGGCAGAAACAAAAAACTGAGCACAAATTTGAGTCACAATCTAATGCTTTGACCACAAAAAACAGCCGACCTCTCTGAGCCGATACCAGGACGAGCTCTTTTAAGAGAGATGGATTAAGAGCCACATAGCTAGTTATGCACACCATACAACAAAAACACTAACCCAGGAACCTATCCTTGCAACAAAGCCCGATGCCAGCTCTGTCCACATATCTATTCAAGGGACACCATCATAGGACCTAACCACATCAGCCACACCATCAGGGGCTCGTTCACCTGCACATCTACCAACGTGATATATGCCATCATATGCCAGCAATGCCCCTCTGCCATGTACATTGGCCAAACTGGACAGTCTCTACGCAAAAGAATAAATGGACACAAATCTGACATCAGGAATCATAACATTCAAAAACCAGTGGGAGAACACTTTAACCTCTCTAATCACTCAGTGACAGACTTGAAGGTGTCAGTTTTGCAACAAAAAAAAATCAAAAACAGACTCCAAAGAGCGACTGCTGAACTCGAATTAATATGCAAATTAGACACAATTAACTTAGGTCTAAACAGAGACTGGGAATGGTTGGGTCATTACCCTAATTGAATTCCCCCTTTCCACCCCCCATGTTAAATTCTCCTCACACCATCTATGGGTCATCTCCATTATCACTTCAAAGTTTTTTTCTTCTGCTGCTACTGATAACTCATCTCAATTGATTGGCCTCTTACAATTGGTATGCGTACTTCCACCTTTTCATGTTCTCTGTATGTATAAATATCTTCTGTCTGTGTGTTCCACTCTATGCATCTGAAGAAGTGGGCTGTAGCCCACGAAAGCTTATGCTGAAATAAATGTGTTAGTCTCTAAGGTGCCACAAGTCCTCCTGTTCTTATAGCTAGTTAAGAACATCGGGGGAGGGTGTTCAGGCAGCAGCTTGTGCCTTCTCCCTTTCTCTACCTGTGCAAGGCTGCAAGACATGGGAAACCACGAGGGGATAAGTGATAGCAACCCTCAACATCCATATACACTGAGCAGTCAGCTGTCGTCTTGTGGGAGGCAACTGCAGCTTTAAAACAGCAGCTCCAGTTTCTAATCGGATTGGGGGGGGGGATGTGGGAAAAGTGCAGCAATGAATCTTTTCTTCTTTTGACAACACTCTCCCCTTCAGGACTAATACTGCACGGGGGGGGAAGAGACACCCCCCACCCCCAACAAGGCAGAAGCAGCGATCACATCCCCGTGTGGGAACTAATTGCTGGGAGCAGCGTTCGCCGTGAGACCTAGGATTTCCCCTGCCTCCAACCTGAAGCGATTTCTCCTGGAACAAAGTCATCCCCGCCGCACTCCACCTTTTGCCGGCCGTTGACAAGTTTTGCCATTTGGATTTCATGGAGCTGGGATTCTTGTTACTCTTTGGACTTACCGTGACCTCGAGCGCAGGTAAAGGGGGATTGCTTGGCTGGCACACAGTCCTGGGGGCTGCAGCCGCCGCGCCTGCGGCTTCTGGTGCGTGGTCAGTGAGTAGGAACCCAACTCGGTAGTTTAAGGTGGGGGTTTAAAGGCGAAAGAAGCGAATAGAAACGAACGCTGCATGAAAAGCGACTAAACGGTGGTAAGCGCGGGGCCTCCTCGGCCTCATTCTCGCCTGAGCAGCGACCCTAACCCGACCCAAGAACTCCGCTTGGCCCCGGGCACGCGGGCCCTCGTGCATGGCTCCGGGGGGGCCCCAAAGCAGGCGGAGACCCCGGGAGCTGCCTCCGCACCTACCGTCCGCCAGGGATTCAAGCCCAACTCAGCCGCTCGCCATCCCGCAAAAGAAGTCCGTTTATAGGGGGGGGCCGCCATTGGAAAGAACAAGCCCCTTGCTGGGGGGGGGGTCAGAGCCGAGGGATGGGACCCCCCCCCAGCGGCTCTCAGCCTTTCTTCTCTCCCCACCCTGCAGGGTTCTCGCTGCCCGTGCCTCGCCCCCGGCCCCTCGCGGAGAGCGGCAGCGGCCGGGGCCCGAGGTTTCCCGCGCTCCGGGAGCGGGTCGGTGCGGAGAGCCCGGCCCGGGCCGCCGCAGGGGGGCTGCCGGCCGGCGGAGGAGGGAAGGCGGATGGCCCGGGAGCGCCGCGCCGCAGAGCCAAGCGCTGCACTTGCTACACCTACAAGGACAAGGAGTGTGTGTACTACTGCCACCTGGACATCATCTGGATCAACACCCCCGAGTGAGTGCGGCGGGGGCGGCACCCCGGAGACCCCGGGCGTGGGGGGGGCAGCACCCCAGAGACACCCCGGCAGTGGGGGGGGGCAGCATCCCCGAGAGAGCTGGACGGAGAGATCTGGGGAGGGGGGAGCAGCACATCTGGGGGGGAGAGATCCCAGGGGATGGGGGGAGCAGCACCCCCAAGAAAGCTGGAGGCAGAGATCTGGGGGGGGCAGCACACCTGGGAGAGCTGTGGGGAGATCCTGGGAATAGGGGAGAGCAGCTTGGGAGAGACTCCTGGGGATGGAGGGAGCAGCATGCCTGGGAGAGCTGGGGGAGAGGCCCTTCTTTATAGGGGGGGAGCAGCACCCCAGGGAGAGCTGGGGGGAGAGATATCCCGGGGATGGGGGGGGAGCAGCACGCCTGGGAGAGCTGGGGGGAGAGACCCCTGGGGATGGGGGAGCAGCACCTGGAGTTCAGGCAATGCCAAGGGAGCTGGAGCTGGGCCGGCATGAACAAATGGGGACTGGCTCTCCAAAGTGAGTGAGCCAGAGACCCGGTGGGACAAGGCCATGGCTGGGGAGCAGCCCCTTGACATGAGTCCCTGCTCTATCCCTAAGCCCTGAAGGATGATAAAAGGAAGAGGATAAGAAGTGGAGTGATCCCTCCTCCCCAGTGGGGATAGGGGGTCAGCCACCCATAGTGAGCCAGCTTGGGAATTGGGTACTGGCTTCAGCCCCCTAGAGTGAACGAGGCCCCTGCAGGGTGAGAGAAGATGCTGTGTCCCTGAGGAGTAAGGAGATTCCTTTTCTAGGGGAGCTGGGAATCAGTACACTGGAGTGAGTAAGGGGCTGAGGGTACTCTCCCCTTCCCTCCTGGGAATGGTACAGGAGGGCTGTAAGATGATCCTTGCAGACTACAGTTGAAGGCATTCCCCGCAGGGATGGTGTGCTGTGGGGGCTGGGGCTCCCTGCCCAGAAGAGGGGAGAGGCTACAAAGAGCCATGCACCAAGTTCTTGCTGCCATCCCTCCCTTGCATGACTTCCCCAGCTGCTACTTGGCCACCGTACCAGTTATAAGGCCCCAGACTGAGAGAGTGTGAATGCGCGCCAAACTTATAACAGCTCTTGTCCAGGGAGTTAATATCTCAGTGCAAGGAAGGCAGGACAGAAGCAGCCATATTTTTAGATTGCACGCTCTTTGGGATTGCCCTCAAAGTGCCTAGCGCTCTGTAGGTCAGATTCTACAATAATAATAATAAATGGAAAGAGTTGTTTGTAGCCAGTGAACTATCCCATCGTGCCCTTTGTACAGAGAACAAAATATTAAAGTTCTGCTCTGAAAAGTGACTCTCTGGAGGTTTCATGTTTGTCGTCTCTCAGTGACCCCAGGGCAAATCTGCTAAATTAACCAGTAAAAAGATAGCTTTTCTCAGTGCCAGCCCTGTCAACTCAGTCGTGAGTCTTGGCTCATGCTTCTTCACAAGTTAGTTGAGATCCTGCTTTTGGAACTTGGTGCTGGATTTAATGACCCCCTTGGAGAACTCATATGAGTCATCCCATCGAAGGGATTATCACATGAGGAAGGGCAATCAAGGGGGGAATCAAGCCCTTAGTTCACAATTCTGTTGACGCATGAACTAGAATAAAATTAGGGTGACCGGACAGCAAATGTGAAAAATCGGGACGGGGTGAGGGGTAATAGGAGCCTCTATAAGAAAAAGATCCAAAAATCGGGACTGTCCCTATAAAATCGGAACATCTGGTCACCCTAAATAAAATCCTCAACTCAACTGCACTAGCTTTGCAAAGCAAACAGAAGTATAAGTGTAGTAAAATCTCATTTGTCACTAAATAGGCAGAGAAAATTTAAGATACACTCAGGGAGCAGATTCGTTGAGGTAGAAATCTTTTTACTTTTTTCTGTCCATAGCTGCGTATTATCCATTTCACTGACACGCACATCCTGAAATTCTGGCATAATTCTAATCTCTACTACTCTTTCCCATACTGTGCCTCAACACAGTCTTTCCTCTGACAGTATCTCATCACTTTGTTGAGGTTCTGACAAACATATCAACAAAGTGGTGGAGAACATCTTACAACATACATTGTCCCATTAGGATTGTGCCTGCTGATAAATTAAACAGTATCAGACACTTGTCTGAAGTTGCTGTTAACTGCGCCCAGCACTTAATTCTCTCTTACCTTCTTTGTTTTGGTTAATATTTGCAGTGTGAAGTCTCACATGCTAGAACTCAGGCTGGGTTGGGCTTGCATGTTGAACAGCAGGATCAATACCTAGATGGATTAACAGAAAGACCTAGTCCAGGACAGAGTAACACTGAGGCTACAGCCTCAATTTCTGAGCCTTGGCTCCTGTATCTAGACTGGGTGCACCCCAATCTCCTGCCTGAAACAAGAAGTCCAGGGTCTTAAATATATTCTAAGGCCATGTTTACACTATGAACTACGAGTGTGATTCCCTTGTTCACATACACATATTCGCACTCTCTCAAGTTTAAATAGCAGTGTAGCCGTGGTAGCATGGGTAGCAGCAGCAGAGACATGTCTTAGCTGTGCTGGGTATGTACCCATAAGTTTCAGGCAGCTTTGAACTTGGCACAGCTAAGCCATGCCTCCACTGCTATTTATATTTGCACTAGTTCAATGAGAACTAGTGTGAGTATGTGTATGCGAGCAGGGGAATCACAACCCTAGCTCCGAGTGTAGATGTCGCCTAAGGGGAATGTTTCATGGGCTGCCTCCTGCTAGTAATCAGATAACATCCCTGGGCAGGGCCGGCTCTACTGATTTTGCTGCCCCAAGCAGCGTGCCGAATTGCCGCCACGGGCAGCTGAACATAGAAGCTGCCGCCGAATTGCCGCCGCTGCGGAAACACGCATGTTGCCCTAATGGCACACGGACTGCCCCCGCCATCCACAGCAGCAATTCGGCGCGCTGCTTGGGGGCAAAAAAACACACGGGCTGCCGCCCCTTGCAGATTGCTGCCCCAAGCACCTGCTTGGAAGGCTGGTGCCTGGAGCCGGCCCTGTCCCTGGGGTAGCCACAGAAATTGTACCTTGAAAAAGTAATTAGGAAAGAACTTAATGTATTTTTTAGCTTAATTTAATGAACTTTAGAAGCTGGAAACAAGGCAGAAGAGTCATTCCCCTGTGACCATCTAGCTTTCCACTGACTACCAGCAACTGGTCCACTGACCACAGTTTGGGAACTTCTGCAATAAGCTAAACATGCGTTTTTAATTAACTACAAGGACCTTAATTGGTTCAGAATAACAACACTGAGAAAAATCAAGTAACAGCAAAAATTAATGAAGCTAATGGGTCCCGACTTACAGGCTATATCCAGCGCCACTTCCTTTGTGAATGCACCAACCAATTCCAACTGGAAGCACTGTCAATTGACAAGGCTTTTGAACTCTGTAAACGTGCAGTAACCAGACAGTCACCCCGGTCCTTGAAGCTCCATACTTCACCACCATTGGGCTTAGTTAGGAGTAATTTTAGCTAAATATTTATCACTCTTATTTAAACCAAGGCTTGACTGGTGAAACTTTTAATAACCAATAACTTCATTGTAAATGTTTTTCCCACAAGTTCCCAAACCAATTTGAACTTTTTGGGGTTAGATTCTGCACCCCTTTAAGTCAGTCCCTTTTTAGTCCAGCAGGAATAGGATTGAGCCTTTGTCTTTGAATATAGCAGCCTTCTTATGGATGTGGGGTGCTTGCCAAGCCAATTTGTGGCTCTCACCGGTCATATGCAGAGCCCTCAGCCCACCATCAAATCTGGTCAGAAGCAGGGTGGATTTGATTTAACCTTAGTCAGGAAGACTCAATTTAATCATGGATTTCTACATAAAAGTGCATTCTTGTTGGCTGTTATAACCTTGATACATATTCTTCACAACTCAGAGATAGATGAGGCCCAAACTGGGTCTCTTTTATGGCCTGCTGCCATTATAGGTTTTCCCTTCTAGCAGGGCCGGCTTTAGGAAGTGTGGGGCCCAATTCGAACAGTTTTGACGGGACCCCAGCAGGGGTGACAAAAAAAAAAAGCCACTTAAAAGAACCCTTTCATTTCTTCCA